CCCAAGTCCAAGCCGGAAAAGGAATCGAATAAAGATGGCGCCGCCGATGGAAAGAAGACTAAGTTTAAAGCCCTTGCGATTGCGGACGATAGCAATCGAGCGAAGGAACTCGATAAGGAATTAGAGATGGAGGCTAGACAAAACCATGGAGAGAGTGAACGGGAAGACGAGGATAGATACAGAGATAGAGGGAGGGATAGGGATAGAGATAGGAGAGACCGGCGTAGGGATAGGTACGAAAGGGAGGAGAGGCATAGAGAAAGAGACAGAGGCTATGAATATGAGGATGAGAGAAGGGATCACAGAAGTAATGGAAGACATGGGGATAGATATGACAGGCGTAGGAGAGATGGGCATGAGGAGAATCGATATGGAAGGGAGAACGGTGATGAAGATAGAGACCGGAAATCTCACAGGGATCGAAGGTACAGCTCTAATGAACCAGAATTGTACAAGGTTTATAAAGGCAGGGTGTCAAGAGTTATGGATACAGGATGCTTTGTCCAGTTTGATGATTTGAGAGGAAAGGAGGGTTTAGTACATGTTTCCCAGATGGCATCACGAAGAATTGGTAATGCCAAGGACGTTGTGAAGCGGGACCAGGAGGTTTACGTGAAGGTAATATCAATTTCTGGTCAGAAGCTGAGTCTATCAATGAGGGATGTTGATCAGCACACTGGGAAGGATCTTCTTCCTTTGAAGAAGAGCAATGATGATTCTTTTCGAATGAATCCTCAAGATTCAAAGGATGGGCCAGTAACCCGGACAGGTCTTTCTGGGATAAGGATTGTGGAAGAGGATGACGTTGGTTCTTCGCGCAGACCTTTAAAGAGAATGAGCTCTCCTGAGAGATGGGAAGCAAAACAGTTGATTGCTTCAGGTGTTTTGAGTGTTACGGAGTATCCGACTTATGATGAGGACGGAGATGGAGTGCTATACCAAGAGGAAGGAGCCGAGGAAGAACTTGAGATTGAAATGAATGAAGATGAACCTGCTTTTCTGCAAGGGCAGAGTCGGTATTCCATGGACATGTCACCTGTTAAGATCTTCAAGAATCCTGAAGGTTCTCTGAGTCGTGCTGCTGCATTACAATCTGCACTCATAAAGGAGCGTAGAGAAGTACGTGAACAACAACAACGCACAATGCTTGACTCTATTCCGAAGGATCTCAATCGGCCTTGGGAAGACCCAATGCCAGAATCAGGTGAACGGCATCTGGCACAGGAGCTTAGGGGTGTTGGTTTATCAGCCTATGACATGCCTGAATGGAAGAAGGACGCTTATGGGAAGACCATCACTTTTGGACAGAGATCAAAGCTCTCCATTCAGGAACAGAGGCAGAGCTTACCAATCTACAAATTAAAGAAAGAACTGATTCAAGCCGTGCATGACAATCAGGTACTAGTGGTGATTGGTGAGACAGGTTCAGGCAAAACAACTCAAGTCACGCAGTATCTTGCTGAAGCAGGTTACACTACAAGAGGTAAAATTGGATGCACTCAGCCTCGTAGGGTGGCTGCTATGTCAGTGGCAAAAAGAGTTGCTGAAGAGTTTGGTTGTCGACTAGGTGAGGAAGTTGGTTATGCCATTCGTTTTGAGGATTGCACTGGTCCAGACACTGTAATCAAGTACATGACAGATGGTATGCTTCTCAGGGAAATATTGATTGATGAGAGTCTATCCCAATATTCTGTTGTAATGCTTGATGAAGCTCATGAAAGAACTATTCATACTGATGTTCTTTTTGGACTGTTGAAGAAGCTGGTGAAACGTAGACCTGACTTGCGATTGATTGTCACATCTGCTACCCTTGATGCTGAGAAATTTTCAGGGTATTTCTTTAACTGTAACATTTTCACAATTCCTGGGAGGACTTTTCCTGTGGAGATACTTTATACCAAGCAACCAGAAAGTGATTATCTAGATGCAGCCTTGATCACTGTCCTACAGATCCATTTGACAGAACCAGAAGGAGACGTCCTTCTCTTCTTGACTGGTCAAGAGGAAATTGATTTTGCTTGCCAGTCTCTTTACGAAAGAATGAAAGGATTAGGTAAGAATGTTCCGGAATTGATTATTCTACCTGTCTACAGTGCTCTTCCGAGTGAAATGCAATCTAGGATATTTGAACCCGCACCTCCAGGGAAGAGAAAAGTGGTTGTGGCAACTAACATTGCTGAGGCTTCTTTGACAATTGATGGGATTTTTTATGTAATTGATCCTGGGTTTGCTAAGCAAAATGTATACAACCCAAAACAAGGACTTGATTCTTTGGTGATAACTCCAATTTCACAAGCATCAGCCAAGCAAAGAGCTGGACGTGCAGGGCGTACTGGGCCTGGGAAGTGTTACCGCCTCTATACTGAGGCAGCATATAGAAACGAGATGTCTCCTACTACTATTCCAGAAATTCAAAGGATAAATCTTGGGATGATTACTCTTGCAATGAAAGCTATGGGTATAAATGATCTTCTTAGTTTTGATTTTATGGATCCTCCTTCACCCCAGGCTCTCATTTCTGCCATGGAACAGCTGTATAGTCTTGGGGCATTGGATGAAGAGGGCCTTTTAACTAAATTGGGAAGGAAAATGGCAGAATTTCCTCTAGATCCACCATTATCCAAGATGCTGCTTGCCAGTGTGGACCTTGGTTGTAGTGATGAGATACTGACCATAATTGCCATGATTCAAACTGGCAATATTTTTTACAGGCCTAGGGAAAAACAAGCCCAAGCTGATCAGAAGAGGGCAAAGTTTTTCCAGCCAGAGGGTGATCATCTTACTCTACTTGCTGTGTATGAGGCTTGGAAAGCTAAAAATTTTTCTGGACCCTGGTGTTTTGAGAATTTTGTTCAGTCTCGATCTTTGCGAAGGGCACAGGATGTCAGGAAACAGCTTCTCACCATTATGGATAAGTATGATATCTATCTATCTACCTATCTATATATCTTTCTAAATGTTTTTGCCTGACCCTTTGCTACGTTCTACTTTTATCTATGTTTTATATTAGTTTGCATGGCCAATTGTTTTGAGGCTCTTTCTGTTCATTTATATACTTGTTTTTCAGATTTTAAATTGCTTTTTTACCGTAGAAACTGATGATTATTCCCTTCATATAGGGGATCAGACTTCTTGTTTCCATTATTGTGGCTTATAAATCTTTTTTTTATTTTGGTGGTTTGTGCCACTATGTTGCCACTAGTTCCTTTGCACCTTTAGACTGGCTTGATCGAACTAGTTTCTGAGGCACTAGCTCTGTTTTTCAGGTACAAATTGGATGTTGTAAGTGCTGGAAAGAACTTCACTAAGATCAGGAAGGCTATCACTGCAGGATTTTCTTTCATGCGGCTAGAAAGGACCCTCAAGAGGGTTACAGAACTCTAGTTGAGAATCAGCCTGTATATATTCATCCGAGTTCAGCATTGTTCCAGAGACAGCCAGATTGGGTCATTTACCATGAGCTTGTGATGACAACAAAGGAATATATGCGTGAGGTCACTGTCATAGACCCCAAATGGCTAGTTGAATTGGCTCCAAGATTCTTCAAAGTAGCAGATCCTACAAAAATGAGCAAGCGGAAGCGACAAGAGCGTATAGAGCCACTTTATGACAGATACCATGAGCCAAACTCGTGGCGACTGAGTAAACGCCGTGCTTGATTTGTTTCTTTTGTTTCCTTCAGAAGCTATATCTGGGGTGCAATTTGACGCTGCATCTTGTTTAAAATGTAATTACATGATAATTTTGAATTTTCTAGTAGGAAACCTCAACTGATAATGCCATAGTTTAGAGATTATTTTGCTGATTTCTGGTTTTTAAGTCTCTTTGGTGAGAAGGATTTCATGGTGTACTTTTTCTTGTCATCATGAATCTCATGATGGATCTTAAGAGCATGGTAGCACTAGTATGTTCCCGGCTGACATGACTGTAGCAAGAAGGTTAGATTTTGAAAATAATTCCAGTTGATGATGAATGGGGTTATTGAACCTTATAAATTAAGTGACATGCATCTTATAGCATTGTACATTCCATGCACTATGCTGGGTACATTATATCGCTTTCTTCCTTTATTCACTTTACTGTGATGCTGTTCACTGTTGAGATTCTCATTTAATGAATTGTGTTTTATCCCTTAAAAAAATTGGTGCGTATTTTCTGGTTTTACTGTTGGGTTTCTACATAAAGAATGCTTGCCCTTCTGTCTCTAGCTTTTGATTAGACTAATTCCTTCTTTTGCTTTTACCCATCCCTGCAATGCCTTCTTATCAGAGTCTTACCTAAATAGTCTTGTGCTTATTTTATGGTTTGAATGTGGTTTTCCATTAATAAAGAAGACTTGACTTGTGTCTCTAATGCTTTTGGGTACATTAAATTCTTTTTGCTTTTATTCCTATTTCTGCAGCGTCTAATCAGATTCTCGGATTAAAAATTATGTTTTTTTTTATTTCATAATTTTTTTGTGCTTATTTTATGATTTGGAATCCGGGGTTTCCTTGAAAAGAAAACGCTTGACTAAGTCTGATCTCTTAGCTGTTTTTGCTTTTATTACCATTTCTACAATGGCTGTTTTCAAATCCTCTCTTAATAGGAAAAGACTTGCCTTATGTCTGATGCTGTGGTTCTTGCAATGGAATGTTGAAGGTATGACAGTGGATGAAAGTGTGCAAGGAACCTTTACTGTTATTTTGTTGTATCAGAAAACAAAACTTTAGAAGATCCTATGGTTCTGTGGCTTAATGGTGGACCAGGCTGGCTGGTCTTAGCTTTGATGGCTTCATCTGTGGGCATGATATAATCATTCCATTTTTATTTTAGAAACTGTTTTTTTTCCCTATAAAATCTCAGTTCGATCCTTCATAAATGATTTAGCATCACCCCTAATATTTTCATATCACTCTTGTATTACTTTAATTTGTGTTTGAGGCCCTTTAAATTTTGAAGGAGCAAAGACTAAGGGCAATCTTCCTACATTGCACCTCAATCCTTACAGTTGGTCAAAGATATCTTGTTTGAACCTTGGATGATGTTTGAAATTCTGAAAAGAATATATTTTTTGGGCAAAAGATACCGATTTTGGTCTCAGGTTTCAATTTCATTCCTTAATTAAATTTTACATATAAATTAATTTCTCTGCATTACAGGTCTCCAACATTTGATATTTCGATTCTCTTGTTGGTTTGGGTTTTCCTCACCCCAAGAATGAATCTGATTACAGAACTGGAGACAAAAAAATTGCCTCTGATACGCATACTTTTCTCCTTAAGATAGTGATGGAAAAAATTGGACAATTTTCACAGAAATTGTATAAATCAATAACCCTCTATTATTTTTCTGAGATTGTTTTCCCTGAGTTCCTGCCCTTCTTTGTTTTGAAAGGTCATTTGCTGGAATTTTTGTGCCTACTCCTGCTTCTGAAATAATGTAATGAAATAGGTTGTCCTTTGGTGGTCGAAATTGTTACAATGTATTTGGATCAGGAATAAGGTACAGTTTCAAAGTTTTGAAGGGATTCATGTTGGTGTAGAGCCCAATCTGAGAATTCCAGGGTCTCTATCCTTGATCGATAAATATGTTTTCAAGCCTATGTTGCTGCAACCTGAAGTGATTTACATGCAGGGTTATATGGTAGGAAATGTTGTTACAGATGAAGATTATGGTGGCAATGCATTGGTTCCATTTGCTCATGGGATGGGCCTAATCTCAAATGATATCTGAGGTGCATTCTGAACCCTTGATCGTGGATGAAAGGCGATTTCTTTGTGAGTTATTTTCAAAAAAGTTACTACATTAATCAAGCATGAATTAATATTTTGATGAAGATTTAACAAAGAAGCTGACATGGATTTTGTATCCATGTTATCAATGGGGACAAGAAGACTGGGATATAAAATCGTTGATGAATATTGGACATCCTATAATCAAGTTGCTAGGTATTTTTCACGCCATTTCTATTGGAGTCGAGTTACAGTGAAACATGAAGAAATTCTGCATCTAACAGTAGGGTAGGTTGAAGGAGCATACGAATAGAAATGACCCATGATTGTCATTGGATTTTGAGTTGAAAGATGGTATTATATATTTCTTGGTACATTATCATGAACATAACATGATATGTTAACATCAAACCTTAAAGCATTAAATAGGTCACAAAGCATGGATGACTTAATTTTCTTTACTTATTGCGGCCATGCTCAGTGATATGGAAAGAATCTAACTTTTCCGGCCATAAATGTTCGTTTGCATGCGTAACAATGTGTTGAAAAACTAGTTCTTGAGTTTCGTGTATTGAGATAGGAAACCATACATACTATTCCTGGCTCTGAGCACTGTGCTTTCATTGCTTTACACTGTTTTATAGTAAAAACCAAAAGAGTAATTGAATTTGAATTTCTACAAGAGCTTTTTGTGGGGTCTGCTTCTTGTTTTTTTTGGGAATTATAGGAGGCACATATTAATGACTTGTTGAAATTATAAGTAGGATTAAACCAGCAACCTTTTTGAAAGAGGATAACAAAGGATGAGAGAGTGTGGTCATATTGCTTGAGCTTTTTTTCTCTCTCTCTAAGTATACCTGAAATCTGAGGTTCAAAGCCTATTTTGAAATATCCCTGTATTTGACATTTGCCTCAATAATTTAATGCTGTCCTAATGAATTTTATCTATTAACCATAAAAATAGATGTTATTGTTAGTTCAATTTTATCGATTATTCCCTCATTATGCTCAAAAATCATGTATGTAAATAGTGTATTTTATCTTGGACTCATTTTGCCCTTTCTATTAAAGGAGATTACATTGTAACATCGACATAGTGTAGCTTCCAAATATGATGTATCCAAAAGCGGAGTAAAACCAATTGAAAATATCCAAATAAGCTAAGCACGAACCAAAAGAACAAGAGGAAAATAAGTATGAGTAAAAAATGAGTTCATATCACTTTTTATGGTTATTATGGAGTTGCTTATTATTATTTGATATTAATAAACACCAAGTGAAATGATACATAATTAAAATGATACATAAAAAGATAGGCCTCTTTACATGATTGTATCAGATAAAAATAGTAGAGGCCTAAAAATAACAATAAAACTAGATAAAACAAAAACAAACCAAAAAACAATTTATGGACTTGTTTATTACTACCTCCGATCCTAATTATAAGATCTTGTTTGTAAACAAGTTCTAATTAGAAGATCTCGTTTGTAGATAGGTCCTATAACCTAGTTTATAGTTTACAAATGAGATCTTATAATTAGAACTGGAGGTAGTATAATACATATAGATACATATATATATATATCAACGTAAAAATAAAATTTACAATAAATTACACTCCCTATCGTCCATATATAAGTATCAAAGAACCAAATCATGATCAAGGAGCTGTTAAATTTTTTTCCCCCCAAATATATCCTTATTTATAAGATGATGGGTAATAGAGAGAATAAATGGAAAAAAAATGATAGGGAATGAATGAGGAAAAAAAAAAACAGATAAGATAAACATGCAGTTAGCTAGAGAATAAAATTTTTAAAAAATCCATTAAATTTTTAGACAAATACAAAGTGTTACTTACTTTATCAGTTTTATATTATAAAATCCAGTCAATTAAATTACGTGATTTAAAAAAATTGCTGAAACTTCTTAAAAGTAATAAATATATAGAAAACATGCTCCCTCTCCCCAAATATGTTTTTATTTACAAGTAGAGAGGTGGGAGTGAGTAAGAAAAAAAAAAGGAAAATGTGTGGAAAAAAATAATGAGTGGGTATATTAATACGGGTAAAAAGATTAAAAATGTATTTAAAAAAAAAAAAAGGGACAAATAAATTCAAAAATTTAAATATTATAAAGAGAGTATAAAAATTACTATAACTAAGACAACTTCTTTACCATGGAGAAATGGGAAAATTGGAGATAAATCCCTTAATGAGAATTTAATTAGTACATGATACCTAAGGACTTTATGTAATCGAACTTGTTCAGTGTGTAACTTAACTTCCTCCATGTGCAATTCATCTTCCTCTATGTGCATTTATATTTTCTTATGTCATAACTTTTCTTTGTGCAATTGAATATTCCTTTTATGCAATCCATCTTTCTTTTTGTGCAAGTTATCATCTTTATGTGCAAACTAGTTTGTTATATCCGAATAATATTTTGTGCAAACCATTTCCCCTATGTGCAACTCAACTTCATTTATGTGCAACCGAACTTCATCTTCTATGCAACCCATTATCTTGGGGATCATTTGTCAATTAATTTTCCAATAAAGGATTTATTTTCAATTTTCCTAGAGAATAAAGAGTTAATGTTAAATTTAACTTTAACTATAAGACCTCAATTTATTTTGTTTTTATTTATTTATTCAAGCTAACCTTATTGATTGCTTATATTGGGAGAGTTTGGATCAGAGGCTCATTTCAAACAAAGGATTCAAGATGATATTTTAGAGAATACAAATACATATTTTTCATAAATAATTAATTTACCTAATTTAACTGTTAGCTAAGTAATACTGTAGCATAGTGGGTCATCACCTCGATCTCAGAAGGCCATCTTTCCCGATCCCTGTGGGGTCGCTCAATCACGTTCTATCTAAAAATTAGTTTATTCAACCCCAGACCAGACTGGAAGGAGGAGCTTGTGATGGTCAAACTTTCGTATCTCATTGCAAGCTAGCGCCAAAGTTTGAAACTTCAGAACGTCACAGTTCAGGCTCATAGTAGAGGGGAGACAGTAGCAGAGGAAGACAATGGCTCTAGCTTCAACATTTTACCCAAACACTATTCACACGCATAATAACAACACTCTCTCATTGCGTACCACACGCTATTATGGTTCGACCTCGAATTCGATCTTGTTTGGCTCAGAACTTCTCCCAAGATCCTTTTTCTTGTCCGCGGCAAAACCACACACCTATCGATTATCTGAAATCAGACCCATCTCTGCATCTCACGAAACTTTTGATGTTGTGGTAATCGGAGCTGGAATCATCGGGTTGACTATCGCCCGCCAGTTGCTGATCGAGTCGGACCTATCGGTCGCCGTAGTTGATAAGGCCGTTCCTTGTTCCGGTGCAACTGGCGCAGGTGATAAGATGCCTCCTCCATCTTCTCTGTTCTTCATGTTTCATTTGCAGCAGTAGAGTTTGGATTAGTTGCAGTTTTGATATTTAATATTTGTTGAATGGACCTTTAGTTTATTTTGGGTGCTATCCATTTCTCCAGTGTATTCTACGTGTCATCTTTTGATTGCACATCAAGAAACTTGACCCACTTCTTTTCCCTATTATACATAGGAATTTCGCGTTGTAGTTTTTAGATTGAGGTTTGTTGAATTAATTTAGCATCATTGACCTAGGAAAAAAAAAACAAAGGAGAGCTAGTGTGACTAGTTTCTCTATGTGATATGAGTATATGACTTAGTTCTGAAATCTTCATTTTTTTCAGTAACGGCGGACGCCATATTGATATGCGGTCAATTCTTTTTGTTGGGCCCAAATAAGTTGAGCATTTTCTGAACTCCAATTGACTGTAAGATTTCTTTTCTTTTCTTTTGGAATATGTACCGCGTTTAGGGCAGGGATATCTGTGGATGGTGCCCAAAACACCAGGGAGTGGAAAGTGGGATCTTGCACTGAGAAGCTACAGACTGTGGAATGTGTTGGCAGAAAGCCTACAGAAGCAAGGCTTGAATCCTTTGGAGGAATTAGGTTGGAAAAAGACTGGTATGACAGATTTGGATCCTTATTCCCCAAATGTCTCTGTTTTTGTCTCATTTTGAAGGGAGTTAATTCAATGGTTTCAATATCTGAAGCTGCAGATGGAGTGGCATTTGCAATGACGTGAGTTCTTGACAAATTTTTGTCCATATGTCTAATTTGAATTATAATTATAGAGGCCAGCTAATTTATATAATATGAAACTGTATTATGATTTAAGAACGAGAGATTTCTTGTTTATCATTCACATTCCTTATTATTTCGGTTTGTATTAAAGGGGTATAAAGTATTAAGAAACTTCGATATTGTTTCAAAGTGTGTATTTTGAACTTGTAAAGCCATGACCAGGAACTCTTTGGTCTTTTTAGCGGGTTTATGTGCTGTCATTAAACCTTAAAAGATTGCTTCTATTGATTTGACATTGTGCTTAAATGTTCCACTCGAATGATGAGTTTTATTTTTCAGTGCTGCTTGCCAATATTCAAAGGTGAGAGTTGACTCAGCGAACATCATTTGGGCAACCAATAACACACGACAATAATGCCAGAGTCTTTAACATGCGACTCTCTTTTTCTCTATCCCTTAAGACTCCCTCAATTGTGCCAACAGCTTTGATTGAATTTCCATGACAAGAAATCTTCAAACCAACACTAAAACCAAGCTGTTGTAATCACCATATTAGAACTCCACATTAGCAGCTCCAAAATTCAAAAATACATCCTTGCTAGATTTTTCAGCTACGTCTTAGGTTCTGAAACAGCTACCTTTAAATTCACATAATCAACTCAGATCACAAATACAAACAATAATTCCTTCTGAAACAAAATCTTACCTCTTACACAACTGATGATTTTTTTTTTTTTGGAGCAAATCTTACACAACTGATGATGAAGTGTAAGAATACAACCTCTTTCTAACTTCTGAAAAATTTGAAGAGGCCCCTTAGGCATTGATCTGCTCCACATCAGACCCTTGTCAAAGTGCACTTCTTTAGGCCGCCTTTGTGCCAGTCCAACATTGTCCCCCAACACTCAGGGGCATGAATGCCAAGATGGCATTACCTGTTGGCTTCTTTGGCTGCCGTTGAAGCTGGTTTTTGTGGCTTTTGCCATGAATATTATTGGAGGATTCTGCTTGCCTTGGATGGCTGAAATTATACCCCAAAGTCACAAAAGTTAGATCAGTTATTGAAGAAGTTATTTGACCTCCGATTGCACCCAACATTGATGAAGATATTCTAGACCTTATTAGATGTGAAAGTCATCACTAGGCTTTTACCTAATAGTCATAGCTTTTGGTTCTATGGTTCCTTAGCATGATATAAGTGCTTATTCTACCAAGTGATTATGATTATGATTTTTGCCACCCCTATTCTCCTAACTTCAGCAAATTTTTAGCATAAAGTAAGGATACACTTATACTGTCTTCCCATGTTTCAAGGTCAAAGGATTTTCATATGAGGGTTTCATTTGGAGATTAAACTGATTCCCTCGCTTCCATATACATTTTATGCTCTTCGATTTTTTTTTTTTTTTTAATAGCAGACCTAAATAGTTTTGGGTACACCTATTTTGAGAGCAAGGTGCAAGGGTGGCAATGGGATTTGAGGGCAACAGACAACTCAGACATCTGGTTGCACTTTGAAGTTGCCGTCTCATTATGAGATACCCCCATAGTTATACTTTATGTACAAGTTCAGCTTATAAATTAAACTGAAAAAGTCATGTATCTTTTCGAGAAAAGAACTTTTGATGTCTTTTAATATTTCTTGAATGACAAAGTGAAAGGCGTATTTATGTGCTCTATTTTGGTGCCTTCATAAGACAAATCTTAGTATTCCTATAATTGAATAATTTTCTTTTATCCGAAAATAGCTATGTAAAGAAAGATTTGAATTCTATTAACAAAAGTGATACTTATGTTCCTAGACAAAAATATCGCCTCTGATTAATCAAATGGATTGATCAATCAATTGTATTACTGCAGTAAATGGAAACAACTGATTTGCTTTTTGCTACATACTGTTGCATTTTGAATTTGAATTGTGGTCAATAAATTTGCATGTTGATTCTGAGCTCGAAGGGAAATCTCGAAATGGAGAATGCTGATTATAATTTATAATTTTAGAATTTTTAGCAGACTAAAATTATACAGGCTTTGTTTACTGTTCTCCATTCACTGGTGTGAGTCAGTCGTGTGACTGTGTCTGATCTTCCCTGATGTGCCCAAGTGGTAATAATATTCAGGAGCAGGAGGCATTGATATTCTTAATGTGGAAAATTAAACTCTTTTCTCTGTAACAATAAGGCTGAGGCTGATATGATATGGCTTCTGATCTGTAGGAAGCCTCTTAGTTGGCAGAACTCAGGCAGAGTCAGATATGGTGAAAAAGAGGGTTAAACAGCTCACTGAGGCTGGATTGAAAGCAGAGTATTTGTGTAGCAGTGATCTATTCAACAGGGAACCTGCTCTGTTGGTGGATGAAGACAGTGCAGCCGCCTTTCTACCTGATGACTGTCAATTGGATGCTCATCGTACTGTTGCATATATTGAGAAGGTTATTATTATCACTTTAATTATATATATTTATATATATACTTTCAAGTCCTTAACATTATTTTGTTTCATCCAACATACTCATACCTAGTTACCGTGTCACTTCATAGCACAGACTTGGTCACAAAGTCATGTTGATATGTAGGCTAACAAGCATTTTGCATTAAAAGGACGATATGCAGAGTTCTACAATGAGCCTGTGAAATGCTTAATCAGGTTTATTTTTTCATTTAGGTTTAAGTTTGATTTATTTCTCTTTCACTATAGTGGAAATAAATGGAACATGTACTTTTTTGGGTCAATGCTATGTTTCAATATGTGTTCAGAGGGGCCAGCAAAGGAGAGGTGGAAGCTGTCGAGACTATCAAAAGGACATTGTATAGCAAGAAGGCTATTATAGTTGCGACTGGATGTTGGACTGGTTCTGTGATGCATGATTTGGTTAGAAACTGGGGAATGCAGTTAAATATTCCTGTAAGGCCCAGAAAGGTGAGTATATATGTATCACGAACTAATGCTAATGATAGGTTCCTTTATTCTTTTTCCATTTACGCTGCAATTTAGTACCTTTTTTGTGAAAAAAAGTTGAAGTCATGCCAGTTGATAGTGAAAACTTTCGAACATGGAAAATCCCCTTCCAACAAGTTGTAATAAGATAGGGGAGCTTTGAAAACCATGTGATGATATACTTGAGCACATTGTATTACTGCCATACTAATGTTCTTGAAATTCCATACTATTGCGTTGATTTTTTTTTTCAATTCAAAAGTGTAAGTTCCTTAAATATTTGTTGTACGTTATTTTCCACTTAATAACAACTTCTGCTTTTCAGATGAAATGGATCTTGATATGACATTAAAACCTCTGTAACCAAGTGGTCAAGGGTCTGATCTTTGCCACTCGCTAATGTAGCATGAGAAAAAAATTTCACTACATATTTTGTTGGGAGTTTTGATTCATTCTATCGTTAATTTTTTTTTCTAATTAGTTAAATTCATACCTATGAAAAGTTTTACGCTCATGCTATTTTTTGTGAGTGATTGTGATGGTTGACTTTCAATGTTTTCTTTCTTGAAAATGTGTCAGAGAAAGGAAGAGAGTAGGTAAGGGGAAGAGAAGGGCGGGAAAAATTAATTTGCAGTCCCTCTCTTATGCATGGTTCTATTGGACGAAAAATTTGTATCACAGAAACTTAGTTTTTGACCTCACTTGTTGCATGCTAATTGCATTGTAGCAGTTTCTTTTGTTGGCCAAATTATTTTTCGGTCAATGATGTCACCAATCATAATCTTTTGGTTAATGGTATGTTGGAAAAGTTTGTTGTTGCGATCTATGTGGCCAACTCCATTTAATCAACAAGGCTTGTTATTGTTGCCGCTTGGTGCATTTTGGTTGTGGGAAGAAAAACATGTTTAATGTGGTACAGAAAAGAGCACCACAAAATGACAAATATATTATTGCTTTGGTTTCGGAATTGGAAAAAGAACATATAATCATTAATGTTCTCAACCATCTTTTAAAAATATTATTTTAGTTATTCTTGTTTTTTGTTATTATTTTTGTTATTGAAAGATGATTTTTTTTAAAGAAGTGTGATAATTTAGTTACACATTTATTCTTTGAATGTTTCTTGAAATAATAAATATATCAACAATATCCAATGATAATAAAAGTGTAACTAAATTTAGAGAATCGCACTTTAAAAATAAATTCAATAATCTTTAAATGAGAAAAAAAATTAAAGTAATTTTGTATTTGTTATTTTTGGCCTTTTTTGGGCATTACATTAAACATATTTTTTCTTTCACACGACCAAATTGTAGTAAGTGGGAATTGACCCCCAACTGACATGGCAGATTACATACTAAAGTTTTGTAATCAAAATTCTGAGACGTCAACTAGAATTAGACTCCTCTGAACGGCCAAGAACCCTAATCTTGCTGCTGTCAGACCCTCTCTTGGAACCTTGATAGATAATTGAATTTCTGGAACAGTTTGCACATTTTGTAGCAGGTCCCAGTTTCTCTACTGCTAAACCTCCAATCATATCTTCCATAATTCTCTTCTATTGAACTCTCTACTAATTGCTTCCCAGACTTCTCTCTCTAGAATTTTCCCCTCACGTCTCTATTATTTTCCCTTAAAGAGTGAATTTCTTCCCATAATGCTTATTCTCTCTTTTTGAGATAATTTACAGCCTCTACTTATTGTACATTGGATAAAATGATCAAAACTTCATGATATGTTGGGGGGAAAAACTTTGTAATGAAATATTCAAATTATATGTGTATCTCTGTCCTATAAAATTTATTGTATTAGTTAAAAAGTAAATTTTAATACAAAGAAAAGTACTCACAAGCTGGAGAATAAGATATTGCTCACTAGTAAAAGCGAGAAGATAATCCTAACGTGTAATTAGAGATATTTGTTACATTTGATTTGAGGGGGCATCCTTGCTTATTGTTCCAGATATGTTTATCTAAGGAGCTCTTCCTTTTGATCTCAAGTATTTCTTTTATCTTGACGGACTGCTGAATATTGATATCTAAGATAACTGATTGTGTTATTCTTGTGGAAAAAATTGGTCTCTAGCTTTTTGTTATTTTCTTGATTTTCAGTGATTGAATTTGACGCCAAGGAATGCTGGGTGGCGTTGAATCAAGGTCACTCTAGTTTGTCCCGTGGGAAACAAGAAACTTTTTGACATTGATTTTATTTGTGTGAAGATAATGGTGTGATTTCTTGAGTAAATTCCTTTATAAAGCAAGATATGATTCAAACTGATTTATCTTTTGGTTGATTGACTAATTATTACATTCCTTTAATTCTTTTTTTATTCTTGTGAAGGGTCACTTGCTTGTGCTAGAGAATTTCCATTCCCTACAATTGAATCATGGTCTGATGGAGGCAGGTTACGTTGATCATCAAACTGCATCTTCACCACCTATGGTTTCAGGGTTGGAAGGATATGATCATGGGCGAACCTTATCTGTTTCAATGACGGCAACTGTTGATGCAATGGGGAATGTTCTTTTGGGTAAATACGTATAGCCTGCATAATTGTCCCCAATGGGGATTATATATGGTTAGTTTGTGTGGACAATATATAATGTTGATATATACATATATATATATTTTTTTGGAGCTGAAGTTGGTAATTGCATGTTAAGTGTTCGCTATCGTGACTGCATGTTACTGATATTAAAAATGAAGGCTCTTTCTTTGAAGAGGGTTTTCTAAATAACATGCAATTATGGTGGGTTTATTTAATGAAGTTGTCATGTTATTCATAGATATATTCGTAAAACAGACCTCCCAGTTGAGTTATAAATTATTCTATTTATTGGAACATGCTTGCTGCCTTCATTATGTTTACCATTCAGTGTAATCTCACCCTTTATTGAGAAAATAATTTGAATGCATGAGGTGCTCCTAATTTGGGTAAACATGAGGTGAAATAAGAAGAGAAGGAAAAGAGAGAAAAGCTACGTGATTTTTACTTTGTTTTATAGTTGTGTATGATGTGAAAATATTATATGCTTAGAAAGAACTATATTAAATGGTCATGTGATCATGATGCCTTTAGTATATCTTCAGCTAACTCATTGGGAAATGTTTTTTGATTGAAGTTATCTTCCATTCCGACTTCATTGGAAGTTTTATTATTCAACGTCTTCCTACTCATAAATCAATTTCATGAGATAGATTAATACTGGCAGTGGCCGTGGATGCATATGCTTTGCTTTTTGGGTTTTTCATTTTAAGTTTTAACACTATTTTTGTTATTTGCGGGTGACAACCAAAATACCAACCATCAAGGAAGTAGCCGAGAATTTGTTGGGTTCAGCACTGATTTGGATGAGTCTATTGTCAATCACATATGGAAACGAGCTGGAGATTTCTTTCCCACATTAAAAACACTTTCCCTTTCAGATCTCAGTGCAAGTAGAAATGTCAGAGTTGGATTACGACCCTACAGTGAGTTCTAGTTTTTCTTTCAATTGTCTTGCGGTTGAATATTCATTTTGTTAGCTTTTAGAAGTTCTTTGCATATATTTTTTATTTGAAAAAAGGAGAAGTTATCTGCATGTATTTTCCTCGCTGCTTGGGAAGTGTCTGACTTAATACAAATTTTTCCACGTCAGTGCCTGACGGGAAGCCAGTGATTGGGCCTGTGCCTGGCTTGTCTAACTTGTTCCTTGCTGCTGGGCATGAAGGGGAAGGGCTTTCGATGGTGAGTTTGCAAAGACTCTTCTTATTAATTAAATTAATGGACTTTGAAAATCAGCGTTGATTGTCTATTTGAAAATGGTAGTGAGCATGCGTTTACTCTTTACAATAATGTAGAAAATAAAAATGCTTTCTTTTTTGGCTAGAAAGGGATTGAAAGATCTTTTCTAATTTTGGAGTAATTTCCAGGCCTTAGGGACTGCTGAAATGGTCACTGATATGGTGTTGGGTCGTCCTACAAAAGTTGATGATGGACCTTTTTGTGTGCATCGGTGCTGTTGATGAAATGCATGCTGCTAAGAAGAATTGTTATTCTTGCATTTGAAAAAGATCTTGGTTATGCTTTAGCATCATCAAGACATGGGGTCATCTTGTAACTTCCTGAAATGACTGATTTTTAGGTATGATGATATTATGTTGTAATAAATAAAAGAAGTAAGTTGGAGGTCAGAGGGGTTAATTAGGAGAGATGACCGTTCGTAGCTAATGGCTATAAATAAGTGGCCTAGGGACTAGCTGTAATCGGGCTTTTGGTTCATGGAAATGTGATTCCCCTGCTTCTCTTTCTCTGATCTCACTCTTTTCTCTTTTGTTTCTCTCTGCTTCCTTCTCTTTCCCTCTCTTCTGTCCCTTTCTATCTCCTTCCTCTTCATTATTCTATATCATATGATATCCCTTATTAATTTTCCTTTTGTAATCCCTTCCATTTTCTTTAAATTTTGTTTTAATTGTAGCCATAATTCTTGTTTTCCTTTTTACGTCAACATACTATTTTTTAGGGAGAATTAAAAACCAAATTCACAAATTCTTTTTTGCTAGAGGCCTCTAATGGTAATACTCATTGTTCCACATATAAATTTGTATTGTTTAAGCGATAAATATCTTTTTAGTTGTAAATTTGCATTACGTGAATGGTAATACTCGTAGTTCAACTGGTGGATTTGCTTTATGTGAGCGGTAAATTTAAGGGCCTTCTTAATTAATTTGTGAATTTGGCCCTTCCTTACAATTCTTCCTTTTTTTTATTGTTTTTATCCTATGAAATGAATTGCCGAAGTGGTGGTTACTTCAAAAAGTAAATAATTTATCTTCTCTTGTGATAGGCAGTAATTCATCTGATTCTTTGATTCCGTTTTCTATTTTGACATAGCTATTCTGCTTATGCTGCTGTGTCCATTTCCAGCTGTTCCTATGGTGACTATCAGAGTCTATAACAAATGACTTCCCCTTTCACCAACTCTTTATGATTTACGAGACAAAATCAAGCATATACTGCTACTAGGGTTGTGTGATTTGAAGTTTCTGCTGCCAAGGGTTCTTGCTGGGTGTAAATTTTATGAAATAAGGAAAAGAAAAATGAGAAGTACCATACAAGATGGCAAGAGTCAGTCATACTATCCTTGGTTACTTCTTTTAGGCATCTTGCATTTCCCAATTCCTTTTATTGCTTTTTCTGGCCTCTAGTCAACGAGGCACAATTGTTATTCTACAGAAATTTACATATAAATTTAAAAAAGACAGTCAGCTAAATTGATATGCTGTTAGGTATCCCTCTTCCTGTGACTCCTTTTGATCCAGAACTTGTTGTATTAGGGTACAAGAGATTGTATGTCATTTTCGCTGGGCCACGTCTGTTCCTTAGCCTGGCTTCATTATTTCTACTTAAGATCCTTGTCTGAATCTTTTTTAATTCTTCACCGAATTGCGCAAATCTCTTTCGAACCTCATCGTTGTCTATCCACTCAGGAGATGGTTGGCAACCCAAGTACACTTCATCACAAGCGTGTTGTGAGAGAACTTCTACTAATGCTACAGCCAAACTCATTTCAAATCTTCCAGGCAACATCTTGAGGAAAAATTTATCTGGGTCCTTGAGAAACTCTCCAAACTCGTGTGTCCCTTCATCAGGAATAAATTGTCTACATAGTGTTGGACGACCTGGTGGGTAACCAGAGTACACATATTGCCCATAGTTAAGCGATGCATGCATAGCTGAAGCAATCCAAATGAGTGTTGTCAATGCTTCAACCAGGTTTGGGAGAGTAGTCATTCGTATCCACCAAGTTTCGTTGCGCTTATCACCATGACCAACATTTTGAATCTCTGTCCACCACGCCTGGAGTTCGATATCAGACTTAACAGCATCATCGTCTTTGTAGAAGAACGAGCAGAAGTCCTTGACCCATTGTTTGATAGCAACCCATATTTCAAGTCCATCAATGGCGTAGGGATAATCCTCCAAGAGAAATAGAATCCCGGCGGGGTTGTTCACATCTGGGTCTTCTATGGCCAAACCCCTGAAAAGCCACAACCAGAACCTAAGATGCCCAGTGAAACTCCAGACTTTGTAATTGGAAGAGTAAACTAACAATTTACTATCCGAGCTTTTAGAAACATCTAACTTAGTCTTGAAAAATTGGTGTATCATGGATGATTAACTCGTATAGTTGAAAAGTGAAATTAGATAGGTGTAATACTCAGACTTTGCCTTTCTTGTTAATGAAGGTGCAATTTACCTTTTGATTAGATCAGCAGGAAGGCCTTGTTCAGTGAACCTCCACTCTTTGTAGAGCTCAGATGACATTTCCATGGAGATTTCCCCGGAAAGTAATATTTTCTCAAGAATCCCTTCTGCATCTATAAGTATACATCTTGCTAAAGCATTTATGTGAATGGTGTCTCTGAAATGAGGGTTCAAGATCCGATGGATTGGATGCATAACACTTAGCTGTCTTCTGGTGGCAATGATAAATGGTTCAACAACTGCGTGGGTATGCAACCTGCAAAATACTTCATTGCAGAGAACTTAATAGTAGAACAATCATCATTAATATTATTTATTGATATATTATATCATGTGCATGCAGAAGTTATGAGAAAACTAGAATTTTTGGGAGTAGGGTGGTTGTTTGCTGCCAAAGAACCGCTCAGTCCTCTCCTTTTATTTTATTTGCTTGTTATTTGCATTGCTTCTGAATTACTGACTTTATACAATAAGAGCTAGTTTCTCTAATCTCTTGGGCGTTCACCTTTTCATCGGAAGAATCTTTTATAATGAGACACATTTCCACGTGCGTTGCAAGAGTTTGACGGGTGAGTCACACTATTCATGGTCTGTGAATATTGCTCTTACAGTAAATTTTATGTTTTATATTGATAAAACCCTATTTGATTTCAATACTTTTGTGAAATGCGTGTGATGTTTAACATGTGAAACCTCAATATACGTAACAACTTAATGCATGTTTTCTTTTTCACTGAATCACCAATGGTCTTGGTGGAAGCAGGTAACTATCTATTTCCACTAAAATCATGGTTTTAAACCAAACATGCTTTATAGAAGATGTTGAGCTCACCAATGGCTGATGAGTTGATGGTAAAGATTGTCATTGGCAGCAACATGTGCTTTAGCAAGCTGCCAAAGAGCAGCTTCCACTCCTCCTTCTGCTGGAAGAAAGACTCTGTGCTGTTCATTTCCCAGAGGAAATGGAGGCAGGCTGAGTTCTATTGCTAATGGCTTCAACATGCCGTCATTCCTCAGTAACAGAAATGTCCTTGATGCATAGGCGCACACTCCATTTGTGTTGATTCTGTTTAAGAATGGAATCAGATAGTCATGGTGGTCCAGTATGAGTATTCTCCCCTCCTGCATTGCCTGACACACAATCATTCAATCAATATATTGTGTTAAAATATATTATCATGAAAGAATGAAGCTCTTTGTGATTTTGTATAACATACTCTTTTCGGTCTTAAATTTAGGAGTTACATAATTAATTTGTAGAGATTAAGAAAGTTGGTTAAGTTAATTTTTCATGTAAATATATGTTGGTATTCTTAAAATACCATCTTTAATAATTTTGAAAACTATCCTTGTTGATGAAAACCCCTTAGGGTATGTAATCAACAGAGATTGTTTGGGAAAAAAGTTATAAATTTGTGAGATAAATGAATTGAGTTTTTACATTTAAAATTAGAATAAACCACTTGACTAGTTCTTACATTTAAGACTGGGGGGAGTATAATTATTTTATAGCTGTAAATATTCTGAATTATGAAAGATTGCGTTACGTACCTGGAGTAATGTCAGGCCTTCAAGGTTGTGTTCTATGTGCGTGGATTCTATTGAACTGTCCACTCCATTTTTGCTATGAGGTGGGAATCTCTGAGAAGTTAGGATGAAATATTTTCTTAGATCATTAAATAAAATAAGAACATTAAATTGCAATTAAAATTTGTTACAAGTGATCACGTCATTCTGAATTTGACAATAATGTTTAATAGCTGAACTTGTAAAACGTTTCTTTCCTAAATTTAAAAATTAATTTTAAAATTAGCATTTTTATTTAACCCACATTTCCCAAAAAAATTTAGTTTAATAATATTAGAAGTATTTCTCTGTAAAGTACAATCGTGGCATCATAAATAACTTGCAAAAGAGAGAAGAAAAATTACCTTCAAGCGCTTGATTCTCAATGGGTGAATTCCTGCAACCATCTGTCTTGCAAATTCCATATCATCCATCCAAGCCCATTCATTTTCTAAAAATTATACACACACACACACGCACCCATTAGACTAACTTATAATATAATTTTTCTGGTAAAAAAAAACTTATAATATAATTTACTAAAACTCCAAAATGCCATCAAAATTATGAATTATCATTGATCTTCTTTTTTTTCAAAAAAGGAGGTGGGCTTCACTTGCTTGAGATTCAAGCATTATTGGACTCAATTGAGAGTAGTTCACCTTAATGCATTTTCATATGCATCTTTTAGGACTCCAACAGAAAACTTCTTACTTAATTTGACTATAGCCTCTTCCACTAAAACTAGCGCTTGTGAATTAAATTTAATATTCTATAAGTGATGATAAGTGAGATTATTACCAGATATTATTTGAGGAAGAGGATAATGCACAGGACTCTTCTGGGAAGCATGGCGAGTGATTGCATTGGCAAGCTGAGGCACAAGAGTATTCTTTATTGTGTCTTTGAAACTTCCTTCAACTTTGCGATCTCTATTGGGAGAGAAAAGGTTTAGTATCTCTTGGAATGATTGAAATTCATCATCTGAATCTTCCTCAAGTAGTAACTTCAATTCTGGAATCACAAAGTAAACAAAAGCTTGGACTGCTTTTGATTGCAACTCTTTAAGTTTCTTGGGGCTGCATCTTTCGTCTGCAGGAACATATATACTCCAAGGCATTGATTCTGGTCTGCTCTCACTTGACATGCCTATCATTCATATCAAGTTTTAGCCAGGCCTTAGAATAGAAATACTAGCTAGTAGTGTATAAATTTTGATCTGTTGTTCTTCTGTCACATGCATCATTTGTTGGGTTAAGTGAAATGATACTCCCTCTGGTTTCTAATAAAGGAACTAGATACTGATTTACAAATATTAAGAAAATTAGATAAGTTAGTTATTTTGTTAAAATGTATGATGGTTTGTTTTCGAAAATACCCTATTTAATCATTTGCATTAAAAATATCCTGTGAGTGAGTTGCTTTCTTAATATATGCAATCAACATGAATAGTTGGGAAAAAAATTATAAATTTGAGACGCTAAGTGAATTGATATTTTATATTTAAGATTGAAGTAAATTTCCTAATTAACTGGCTACCATATATTTAGGATTGGAAGGAATATTATTTTAAAAGTTTGGTTGAATAATGCGACATGATAATATAAAGGTGAAGAATCAAATAAAAATGTATCAAAACGGATTAAAAGAAAAATCTAACAGAAAATTAAACTAGAGCCTTCAAATCTTATAAAAAAAGATATCAAGTTAAAATTAAAGGGGAAGAAGCTAATTAATAATGGCATACTTGATGAAGCAGGTTGTCGTCCAGTTCTGAGTCTGCGAGGATAAGGATACCACCTGGAACGACCCAACACTGGTCTAGGGTTTTGAGGATCACCAAGATCATTGTACACTTCATATTCATATATCCTGTCCCATTCCTTTCTCTCTCCTGATTCTCCATACCCTCTCATCCTTTCGCTTTCTTCCTTCCTCAGCCCAATCAATCCTCTTGGTGTTTCTCTTGGAATATAACACTATCTCCACAGCATACACATGATTGTTATGTAATTGTACTGGAAAGGATCTTTGAAGGAGAATTCCACAAAATAAGCTTGAAATTACTAAATCTTAAATTAAGTATGTTAACAACACTTTAATAGATTTTGACAACACTGGACTTGTAAATAATAACACATTTTTAAAAAAAATTTCCTATTTGGAATTTAGTAATTTCAAATTTCTTTTTGCGGGATTTTTTTATCCTTTAAAGTAATTTATAATAAAAAAGTGTGTGTCTGAGAGAGAGGGATACTGGATTGGATTGGAATTTTTCCAACCCGTCAAGAGACAAGCTAAGCTTAGCCTACTTGCCCACTTGTGACTCATGAGCTGACCCATATTACCACTTCAAGTGAGCCTTGCTCATGTGAGATTTACATGTATCTTGTCTAGCTCCTAACTTTTTTCCTTTAAGTATTTCGGGTGATTCAAATTCATTCTTTAATAGATAACAAAATTGATCGATGATAGAGAACAAGAATAAACTAAATAAGTTACAGACTTCTCATGTATTAAAAAAATGACTTCCCTCGGTTTTATTGATGTTAAGGAAG